GTTACATAGAAAAATGTCTTGGTGCTACTAATACACAAGAATGATGCCCTGAGGTCGATGCTATTTTTGTGACGTAGCTCATTGGAAAGTATTTTATTTAGGGAAGATAAGTCGAGAGAACAGATATGCCAAGATAATTTTATCATAAGCAGCGAAAATATGACCATCATTGGAATGTAAACTAAGTAGTTCCAGTTGAATTCAGTAAACCACTCAAAACCCAGCCTCAAGCTAGAAGAGGACGTGTTTTACGAATTCTTCAAAAATACGAAAGTAATTTAGATATAATATTCATTTGAGACATTTGAACAGTAGGTCCTAGTAAATTTTAGGTAGTACCACCACAAGCAAAAGAAGAGCAAATAGAAAGGGGACAAAGTTGAAGAATTTCGATTCCAATATACGTCATAAGTAGAGAAACAGAGCCATAAATATCTGGGCAAATGTGCACTAAATGGGATTTTGGCTAAGGAACTAGTAGGAATGCGCTCTATAACTTGCTATATGAAATCCAGAATTTGGACAACCATTTATTTGAAATGTCAACGACACCTAATATTTCAGGTAAAAGCAGCGTAATCTCTGCTGATGAGATAGCAGTCTATGACAATGTCAGTACAAACTTATTCTTTTATAAGTAGTTATCGACCACCAATCTTTCATCCCCTTAAAAGAAACAGGTTAAATAGATCCCAAATGCAAACTTTTGTCGAATCCGCAGCAGTTTGAATAACTAAATTGATTATTAAATGATTAGCCAAAGATGTCTCATGGAAAGTAAATCGAAATGTACGGAGCTACTGGTAAAACTCGGAGACCATATTTAGGCTCTTGGCCTCAATACCGATGTGGCGAACATTCGATGAGCAAGGCAACTGTCTAATAATAGAGTTTATGCTGAGGTAAAAATAAAGCATAAATGGCCAGTATTTTAAAGCCTATTTAGGAAATAGCAAATGGACGGACAAAAAAGTTAAATATTTCAACTAGTACAATTGCTAAATCCACCGTCAGCGGAATTTTAAAGAGTGTAAAGCATGGGAGCAGGAGAGGGAAGAAAATAAAGGGTAAATGGTGATGGAAGATAATAGAAGTCAATATTTAAGAACTATTTAGCAGTAAGCTAAGTCTAGTAAAAGAGTCAGAACCATCAACTGAATTACAATATAAACTAATTATTAAGAAAATATATGAAGACTAAGTTGTTGTAGCTTTGATTTTGGTCGAAGTCTTCTTTCGATGGAAAGAGGCAGTCTGACCTCGTTTTCGCAACTTGGTCGTGTTGTCAGAATGACCCAGTTGGACGCATCTTGTCCGAGGTCCTCTGAAATATAAGTTGTCATGATTCCCAGCACACATTTCCATACGTTTTTCCAGCATAGCCAATGAGTCTTGTTACTATTAGCACCGAGCTACAATTCGTGAAAGAGACCGGTTAAGTTAATGCCTTGACTAACTTTCTGTCAAAAAGTCTTGTTTCTTTGACTAGTGTTAGCTCTTTGCTGAGAATGGCAAGAGTCGCTGACGTTGACGGAGAAATTTCTGAGAATATGCCAAGTCCACGGTCTAACGCTGGTAATTAACGCAGCCATCGCCTAACACTTGCACGTAACAAATACCACCTCCGCATTATCGGTTTGTGTTGATCAACCAAGTCTAACTACTGCATCCACCTACCTTCGGACCTATGAGATCGTGACCCTTTGAACAAATCAGAAGACAATGTAAAATCCCTCAAGTGTCCTCAGCCGCAATTACTTTGGACCTGCCTTCTTCGATGCGGCCGACTCGTCGTGCAAATCACCTTATTACGTCACCCTCGTTAGACATTCTCTTTCCTA